GGGGAGGCGGATAGAAGATGGATAAAGGAGAAGATAGGTGGAGAGTAGACAGATAGGTCAAAGAGGCGGGGATGGTGCCAGTGAAGGTGAGTGTAGGTGGGGAGGTAGGGAGGAGTTGGTCAGTCCAGGGAGGACGGACAGGTCAAGGAGGGGGGATGAAGTTAGTAGGTAGGAGATGGGGGTGGGGCTTGAGGTGGGAGGAGGGGAGAGGTGGGAGGTAGGACAGGTTAGGGAGGCGGGGACAAGCTGGGCTGGTTTTGCGATGCGGTAGGGGGAGGGGAGATTTTGAAGCTTGTGAAATCCACATTGATACCATTGGGCTGCAGGGTTCCCAAGTGGAATATGAGTTGCTGTTCCTGCAATCTTCGGGTGGCATCGTTGTGGCACTGCAGGAGGCCCAGGATGGACATGTCGTCTGAGAAATGGGAGGGGGAGTTGAAATGGTTCGCGACTGGGAGGTGCAGTTGTTTAGTGCGAACCAAGCGTAGGTGTTCTGCAAAGCGGTCCCCAAGCCTCCGCTTGGTTTCCCCGATGTAGAGGAGGCCACAACAGGAACAGCGGATGCAGTATACCACATTAGCAGATGTGCAGGTGAACATCTGCTTGATGTGGAAAGTCTTCTTGGGGCCTGGGATGGGGGTGAGGGGGGAGCTGTAGGGGCAGGTGTAGCACTTCCTGCGGTTGCAGGGAAAAGTGCCAGGTGTGGTGGGGCTGGAGGGGAGTGTGGTGCTGACAAGGGAGTCACGGAGAGAGTGATCCTTCCGGAAAGCAGATAAGGGTGGGGAGGGAAAAATGTCTTTGGTAGTGGGGTCGGATTGCAGATGGCGGAAGTGTCGTAGGATGATGCGTTGGATCCGGAGGTTGGTGGGGTGGTACGTGAGGACGAGGGGAATTCTTTTTTGGTTGTTATTGCAGGGAGGGGGTGTGAGGGATGAGTTCCGGGAAATGCGGGAGACACAGTCGAGGGCATTCTCGACCACTGAGGTGGGGGGAAGTTGCGGTCCTTAAAAAATGAGGACATCTGAGATGTACAGGAATGGAATGCCTCATCCTGGGAGCGTTGATTTCCTCCAGGTGCTTCGGTTTCCTCCCACAGTCCAAAGATGTGCAGGCTAGGTGGATTGGCTACGCTAAATTGCCCATAGTGTTCAGGGATGTGTAGATTAGGTGGGTTATAGGGATGGGTCTGGGTGGAATGCTCCGAGGGGTGGTGTGGACTCGTTAGGCCGAAGGGCCTGTTTCCACATTGTAGGGATTCTATGAAAAAAAACACAGGAGGCTATTCAGCCCATCAACTGCACGTCAGATTTCTGTAGGGCAATCCAGACAGCCCCATTGCCCTACGCTATTTCCAAAGATCTGAAAATTAATTTCCCTCAAGTGTCTATCTAACTTTCTTTTGAAATCATGAATTAACTCAACTTGCACATCCTCATAGGCAAGTTCCAGATTATTTCAACTGAGTGTCTACAAAAGTTCTTCCTCACATCATTTCTCTTCTCCAAAGCCGTTAAGTTGGGTTCCCCTGGTATTCATACCATCAGCAAAGGGAACAGCTTTTATTGTCTACCTTGTCTAAATCTGAAAATAATCTTGTATGCCCCAAGCAATTTTTCAGATTTTGTGATTTTGTTTCATATATTGTCATGCTGCAGCAGCATTGAGAATAATTTTGGTTGCAGAAGAATGGTTCGGTTTACTTTGTTGCAATCATTTGTCATCTACAAAAAATATAGGTTACGGGTGTGGATAAATCATTCAATTCCAATACAAGCATGGTACGTTATTCATTTTCTATAATTTGGTTGATTGGTCGCTGCTTTGAACTCGAGACAATTATTTAAATCTTGTTGACCTTGATAGCTGTTTCAAACATTCTTGATTATTCATCTTCTCGTCTGCTTTTATATCAATGAGTTCAAGGATGTGTTGAAGATGCTTGAGTTTACATGAACCTCCAAATGGCAAATAAATAGTTTAGTTAAGATGAAACATGTTTACTACGTCAAAAATTAAATCACAGGTTTGTTTGGAAGTTGCAATCAGTCGTAAGAAGAATATAGCTTTGATCAATTACTGTAAAATACATGCAATTATTATCAAATGTTTAAGTTTCTGCTCCTATTTGTTTATTCTGTTTTAGCTTATGAATATGGTTGGCATGTATGCAGGAATTTCTCCAGTGTACCCCAATGAGAAAGGCAGTACGGAAAGATACCTAAAATTGAGTTTTCAGGGACCAAGGGAGATCCTACGGGAATTCCAAACGTCAAAGCCTCAATCACAGTCTGATGTAACATGATTCTACCACCTTCTGACAACAAAGAGGATGTAGTGTAGTGATAGAAGCAATACCCGAGATAATTTGAAAAGGAGTTCCCTACTTGTTTCCTAGTTATACTGTGAGCCAAGGCTTTGCAAGTACTCTGAAACATAAAAAGCATAAAATAGATTTAAACTGAAAAAGATGAAAGACACCTGTAAGCTTGTCTATGTAGCATAACTCTTGTCTCTGAATCATAATCCTAGTGATTTAAGTTCTGCTTCACAATTTGAGCACTAAATTCAAGACTGACACTCCAGTGCACTGCTGAGGGAGTGCTGTATTAATCAACATGTTGTTTTTCAGATGAGTTGTTAATCTGGCAGTTTGGGTGGATGTAAAAACATCCCACAGCACTACTTTGAAGAGGAATAGGAGCATTATAACCGAATCCATTCTTTATGCCTCAATCAACATCACATCACCTTCCTGTTTTTTGGGAGCATGCTCTGCATACACTGGCTGCCATGTTTCCTGTATTACGAAAGAGACAACCCTTCAAAAGTTACTTAATCAGCTGTAAAAGTGCTTTGATACAGTTTGTGTTTGTGAAAAGTCAAATAAATGCAAGTCTTTCTTTCCTGTTATTCACACAGTATACTTTTACGTGCATCCATAAGCCTTCTGCTTCAGAGGAGTCGAGCTTAGATATCCAAGTTGAATGGAATTAATAAGATTTAACCTGAAAAGGTAATCTCAGATATGATAACCAGGTCACAGGATTACATCAAGAGGATTTAAATCATCTTCAAGCACATCTTTGAAAACAAGAGTTGGAATATCATCTCAAATTGCAAATTCTACTATCGGTTTAGTTACCAGATATGTGAAAAATGGCACAGATTGGCTATGTGAGGCGGCAATTGACAAGTTAAAGCGAACTAAAATTGACTATTGGTTGTCAGGTCATGGCTAACCCAAAATGTAGATATATCTGGAGCAACTGCAGGCTATTGTGAATGATGTGCTACAGTTCTTCTTTGAATGTTAGTTTGACATTTAGGTGGCACTAACTCATCCAGCATAGAACATAGAACATAGAACATTACAGTGCAGTACAGGCCCTTCGGCCCTCGATGTTGCGCCGACCTGTGAAACCAATCAGTCGCATTCACCCATTATTCCTTTGTTTGCTGACCTGCCTTGGCTCCCATTGGATCATTGTCACATCCTCATTCAAATCCACCTACCTCTCTAACCTCCTCCAATTTGCAAACTACAAGAATTCTATGTTCCTCCAAACATAGCTTCTTGTAAATCCACTTCTTTCTTCTCTCACTATTGAAGGTGGCCCTTCAGTGGTCTACACCCTATACTCTTGGATAGTTAGGTTGTGTCAGCAACAAACACAATGTTGCAGAAACTTAGCAGGTCTGGCTAACATCTGAGGAGAGACTCTCAAACTGACACGGGTGACAAAAGCAATCACCACAAAACAGTGGCCTCCTGTTTCATAGAATCCCTACAGTGTGGAAACAGGCCCTTTGGCCCAACAAGCCCACACTGAACCTCAGAGCATCCCACCCAGACTCATCCCCCTATAACCCACCTAATGTACACATCCCTGAACACTATGGGCAATTTAGCATGGCCAATCCACCTAACCTGCACATCTTTGGACTGTGGGAGGAAACTGAAGCACCCGAAGGAAACCCACACAGACACGGGGAGAATATGCAAACTCCACACAGACAGTTGCCCAAGGGTGGAATCGAACCCGGGTTCCTTGCGCTGTGAGGCAGCAGTGCTAACCACTGAGCCACCCCAAATGTGTTTCAATGTGTTAAATGAAATATAGAATTTAAAGACAGTATTATTGCTAATGACCAAGGAAGTACCACAGTGGCGTTAACTCATCTGGTTCATGAGTGTCCTTTAGGAGATGAAATCAGCTGTTCTAACTCAACAGTCTGGTTTATATGTGACTTCTGACCCACATGGCTCTCAACTGATCTCTGAAATTACATAGCAAGTTACTTTGGTCATGTTCAGTAAAGTGGCACATCACTGTCTTCAACAGCAGTTAAGGATGGGTAGTAAATGCTAGCCTTATTAGTGACCTTCACATCCCGCAAATGATTAAAACAAATATTCTTCAAAAGACTCTCCCATTCTTTGGTGCTCCTTACAATCTCTGTCTTTGGCAATGCTTTTGGTTACCCTGTCCTAATATGTCCATCTTTAACTTAATGTCAGTTTTTTTTAACCTGACCATACTTCAATGAAGTGATGAAGGATACAATCTGATGTTGAAGCTGTTGGTAAGTATCCACACAGTTTGTATTAAAACTAGAGCCAGCATGTTTAAACTATTCTCTTGTTATAATTTCCCATCTTTAATGTTAACCATTACTCTTCCACCTTTACATGCAAATATCTATATATATACACATACACACACAACACACAGAATTCAGTCTCTACACATATGAAGCCCTTGATATTTCATTCTCTTCAAAGATAGAATCCACAATTTAAATATACAATTAGTGAAGTTAAATCTTAATTCCACCTGTCACATTGAACGGGATAATCCTATTAAATCAACTGGCTCTGGCAGGCAAAATCTTGGAATGCATAAAATAAAACCTTCAAAAGCAATCAACCTTTTGAATAATCTTTCATGGAATTGAAGATCTTTCTAATATTTACCTTGTGAACACGTTCATAAACTTACCTCGGCGACATTCTGGATACTTATAGTTTTCTTGTTCTGTGCAACACTTCCTACGATCCCCATATCCAATGGGAAAACGATCTCGTGGTCTGGATGGACAAGGCAATCTTCCATGACAGCATCTTTGTGAATATTGAACAGCCTGGTGGCTAACTCTCCTGTGCCATTTCTTTGCCGGTACATAAACAGACTCATTCGGTCGGCATGGATCAGGAAACTAAGCCTCCGTAAAGTTTTAAACACCACCTTTTCCATATTTATGCTCTCCTGCATATCTCGGATAAGGTCAAAGAGAATTTCACTCTCCTCGACCTGACCCATCTCCCTGAATGTTGAGATATCAGCACCGATGTCAGTCCTTGACATCACTTGAGCCACAGTTTCTGGACGAAGTTTCTTCTCAAAGTACTGCTTGGCAAACTCCGGATTGGAGTCGAGAAATTTTTCTGCGGCTTCCCTATTCATTTTGATGACTGTTCAAGGAGCGTAGCACTAATTCTGATGAATTCAATTGACTGAAGAAGGGTCCTGATCCGAAACGTCAACTTTCCTGCTTTTCTGATGCTGCCTGGCCTGCTGTGTTCCTCCAGCTCCACAGTGTGTTGTAAATATTACACACCAGGTTTGCTATATCTGCACTGAAGCTAGCTCATTGTAGGGCATCTGCAACTATTGAGACTGCTTCGCTCCTGTTCTACAGTCATCAGCAAACTATTTTCCTAATACTGTTGAAGGTGAACTGCTGATGCGTGCAGATTGTACCAGAGAAGCCTGATCAAGTCTCATGTGACACATTAACAGCCAGTCCTAGTCTTACGTTAGTGTCTCTTACCAGATTTGTATGTAGAGAAGATCCTTTCCAAGATGACTAATTCTGACCAGCGTTTATACTGTGACAGTGGAGGTAAATCTTAACTATTAAACTATCTACACAATCCTGTTATTGTGGGTGTTAGTGTTTCAAATCATAGTACAGATAAAACACATTTTTATGCTTATTAAATGTGTGGTAGTGTTTTTCACTTGCAGAGAAACCTTTTTCTATTGTTTATAAAAAAAAATCTGAGCACAAAAAAAAATTTAGTTCTAACTTTACCAGATTGCGGAGCTAATACTTCGGTATTGTCAAATTTTATAAACGTTGTCCTGTTAACTCACTGACACACGTGCTTCAGCCGGAAGTTCCCTCCCCTCCCCCAAGTATTGACAGGCTATTTACCATAACCACCTAATAGGGCTCTTGTGGTGTACTGGTAGTAGTCCTATTTTTACGCCAGGAGGCCTGGGTTCAAGCCCCACCTGTTCCAGAGATGTATAATAAACAGGTTGACTCAAACATAGGTTATAACCCAATAATTTTAATCCCTTCAAGTGTCTGAATTAACTCCTTTTTTACCATGACTTAGGCAGCATCTTCTTCCTTACTAAAAGGGAGATGAAAAGTATTCGTTTAACAGCTCAGCTATGCCACCTCCTTCAAATTAGCCCACTCCTCATTACCCTTTACTGTTTAGATGGCTAGAGAAGACTTTAGACTCCCTTGTTCTAGTTTAGCCGTTAGTCTCTTCCCATACTGCCTCTTACTTGCTTTCCTCAATTCCCCTCTAAACCATCTATAATTAGCCCGGCTCTCAGTTGTATCATCTACTTACATCCAACCTAAAACACACTTAGAATCATAGAATCCCTACGGTGTGGAAGCAGGCTATTCAGCCCCTCAAGTCCCTCTGAAGGGCATCCCACCCAGGCCCTACCCTATATTTCCCAATGGCTAACTCCTCTAGCCTCCACACTGTGGACAACTTGGCCTTGCCAATCCACCTAGCCTGCACATCTTTGGACTGTAGGAGGAAACCCATACAGACATGGGAGAATGTGCAAACAGTCGCCTGCGGAATTGAACCTGGGTTCCTGGCACTGTCAGGCAGCAGTGCTAACCATTGAGCCGCCCTGCTTCATCTTGATTTTCACAGATTTCACAATGCAGGGAGTTCTGGAATCGTTTGCCTTCCCCTTTTCAGTAATGTATCTTGACTGTACTTGAACTTGCTTCTTTAAAGTCAACCCACCATTCAGTTACAGTTTACTCTTTCCAATTTAATCAGGGCCAGATCCATGCTTCCCCCACTGAAGTTGGCTTTCTCCAAGCTAATTATTCTGACCCTGATTGCTCTGTGCTTTTTTTTGTAGCCAACCTAAATCATTTGCTACAATAACCACAGCCCAACATATTCCCAAGAACTAAGTCCATCAACACGTGTTCTCATTAGGCTGGAAAAATTCTCCTTAACACATCCTAGAAATTCTTGCCCCTCTCTGCCCTTTCCACTACTATACCAGTTTATAATTGGTTAATTAAGAGTCCCCCATTATAAAGGAGTCTATAGTTCTTTCAGTTCTAATTGTTTTGCAAATATGTTCCTCCATATTTTCCTCAGACTACACTGAGCAGGCACTAGCTAAATTGACTATTATAAGTCTTAAAAGTAATACAAATTAAAATTATTCCTAGTGCACTTGTGGCATGGTGGTAGCATCCCTGACTGAGACAGGTGGCCCAGGTTCAAGTCCCACACAAGAAGTGTGCAATAGTACTTCTGAAGAGGTTGGTTAGAAAATAATCAACAAACTGTACCTTATGTTGCCAGTTTTAGTTTAGGTAATGGGCTGCCTCTTGTTGGGATGCAAATGTTAGAATTTGAGAAGTGGAGACATATCAGGGAAGGAGTGAAGCTCCTGAAGTAAGAGTTCAAGAAGGTGCTCACTCTTAGAGTGGTAAGACATATCTTAAAAAAAAAGGTAGTGGCAGGAAGGAATATCTAGAACAGGAGCATCAGGACAAACTACGCCCACAGATTTGGAGCAATGGCTTCCTGTGCCCCAAACAAGGATATTTAAAGGAAGGTTGATATATTTACTTATTATTTGGTAATAAATTAAATACATAAACTTTGTAAGCTAAATTTAGGTTGATCAATGTGGCGGTATTTATATCTTTTACAATACATATTTTAATCTTTCAAAACGCAAATCTTTCCATACTAATGATCTGGAGACAGGACTTGCATCAAAATGAAAAACATTAGATCTGTAGAGGAAATAGCAAATGTATTTTATTACCAAAGTTTGTACAATTCTTATTGTTACTTTTCTTCATTTTTGTCAGTGGCACTTTGCTGTTGCCTTCCATATTCAGGACCTCAAGTCTCTCAGACAGAACAGGAATCAAACTTACTGTCATTTTGAATCACATGCTGGCCAGCTAACTTACCAGCATCCATATCACTGCGGTATGATAGTGATATTTTGCAAATTATCACTAAGCATTCATGCTGATTGAAGTGTTACGGTTATTGACTGGATTGAATTTGATCTACATAAATAAACCACCCATGAGCAAAAAGAATTAATCTTATTGTCTATTTATTTTGTGGTTTATTTATTGCCCTTGCATGTTTGCTCTTTCAGTTTACATTTTCTCCTTAAAATCAACTTGTTACATAATATTGAAAGTAATAAGTAATTAAACACTCAATTTTCATTCTTTAGTCTCTGCCATTCATTCCTCTGCATCACAGGTAATGCCACTTCTGAAATTCTTCAGCTCTGATGTTGCCCTCAGATTTCCCAGTGTTGATTTTTGGCATTTCTCAAACCCTGGCCCATTTTCAATTCCTTTCCCTCAAGTACAAAGTAATTTTAGAATAGGTGTTCCACTTCACGGTGATGTTTGATGGTGAAAGACTGAAACGACACCTTAAAAACTTAAAACAGTGGGGTCTCAGAAGCCTTCCCAAGCAGTGGCGACAGACCAGTGAAGCTGGACAGCAAATGACTGTTGATTCCACCTTCACTATGAACACAGAGCACACTAACACAAGATATTCAATTACCTGGAATAAACATCCATACCTGCTTGAAAGCATCTTGTTATGCTCAGTCCCCATCAATACAATTCACTCCTCAAAATGATTAGTAACTTAGAGGCAAAATGTCACTAAGCAAGTCATTATAATCATATTTACTTACCTGAATTCCATATCCATTCATCACATCTTTCAGCCTCTATCCAATATAATATTCAATGTTAACAGCTAGGGGACACGACCACATTATGGTTATGCTACTGAGTTAGTAACTGGGAGTGATGATCTGGAAATATAGGCATTCAAACCCCACCATGGGAGCCAAGGAATTTAATATAATTAACTAAAATCAATCTTGAATACAGAAAAGCTATCAGATTCTGGTAAAAAGAAAGATAGCAAAAAACTGTAGATGCTGGAAATCTGAAACAAATTGCTGGAGAAACTCAGCAGGTCTGACAACATCTGTTGAGAGAAAACAGAATTACTGTTTCAAGTCCAGTGACCCTTCTTCAGAACTATTTAACTCCCAGCAATTACCTTCAAAATGGTACAGATCACATCAAATTATAAGCTAAAATTTCATTATGCTTGGTGAAACACTCAGTTGTTCCTGTTGTGATTTCAGTAAAAGTCCCTTGGTGGGGGTAAGGGGTGGGGGAGGAGGTGTCACATTTCTACCCTAATGTTGGCAAATAAATAACTTCTTCAGAAGTTTCACTGGCTCTGTTTTTTTCTCTACAAGACCTGCTGAGTTTCTCTGGTGATTTCTCTTCTCATTTCTGGTTAAAAAGATAGGTGGCTTACTCATTCTTCTTTGGAAGAAAAAAAAAATCTGTCATTCCTGGCTTGGCTTAAGTAATGACTCCAGACTCCCAGCAAAGTGGTAAACTTGTGTTGTGAAATGGCCTAACAAGCCTTAATGGAAGTAGTCATATCCACTGAATGAATTAAGAATTCTGTGCCTCCAGACAGACAGACAGACAGACAATGGAATCTTTCTATTTTTTTAATAGTTTGCAATAAAAAAAGAAAAAAAAAAAAAAAGAGAACAGCAAGCATCAGACGGTAGACAACTTTTCCTCAGACATCTGCTCCTTCTTATTAGTTGAAGCTCTAGGGAAGATGCAGCAGTAGGTGTAAGTGGGCAGGTGTGCGCCAGTTAACTCTTTTCTGAAGGTTTACATTTAGTTCAGAACCTCCATATAACAAAACTATCTATTCTGCTGACTTTCAGCAAGGCCTCATTAAACGCAAGTGGCATGGTAGGTCAGTGGTTAGCACTGCTGCCTCACAGCACCAGGGGCCCAGGATCGATTTGAACTTTGGGTGACCATGTGGAGTTTGCACAGTCTCCCTGCATTTGCGCGAGTTTCCCCTGGGTGCTCTGGTTTCCTCCCCAGTCCAAAGATGTGCAGGCTAGGTGGATTGGCCATGCTAAAAATTGCCACATAGTGTCAGGGATGTGCAGGCTAGGTGGATTAGTCATGATTAACGCTGGGATGGGAAGGTCTGAGTGGGATGCTCTTCCGAGGATCAGCACTGACTTGATGGGCCGAATGGCCCTGATCTGCACTGTAGCAATTCAAATGATTGTATAACAAGCAAGTGCGTATGAAAGTACTGTTCTAATCACTCCTTCATTTCATAAATACTCTTGAATCTGGAGAGGCAATAGGAGAGAAACATCAGTTTGTCTGCACTTACCATTGTCAGTATTATGCATCCTCTCATTTGCAGATGTTAGGATAGACATATGACCATAAGGGATTTTGAGAGTTCATAGCAGGAGATAGCAAAGTATTTCACAACACATTATTGAAGCTTCAACAGAATTCCAGTAACTCCCATCACCCTATTGTGGGTATAATTCCATGCCATCTGACCTACTCTGATAGTAACTACTGGGAGTTAAATAATGCACCTTGATTTCTAATTTGCATTTTTTTGGTAGGGATCTGCTTAGCACAATCTCATTACAGCACAGCAGTCAATTCATGCAACAGCATCCTACAGATATCAGGTGGCAGGAAGGGATCAGGACTCAAACTCTTGCTCTTCCTTGAGGAGTGCAGTGGGACTCATTTGAAGAGGAGAGATGAGAACGCTTCAAACTGAAATCAAACTGTCACAATAGAAGTCAAACTCACAAAGATAGGTGTACTATATGTTCTACAGGGTTAATTCAGGCCACATTTACCGAATGTTAGCAAAGATGCGACAAGCTCCCAAACATTCCTTATCTTACTACTGAATTAACTATTCTGAGACAGAGCAAACCCATTCCCCAGTCCTACCGTCCCCCAACACACTTCACAGCCTGCTGGATATGCTTTACAAGTTTTTCAACTAATCATTAAAAAGGAAAGCTTCATTCTTACCAATATTTTGTTTGCCACTTTCCCCTTCTGTAGAACTGGGTGTCACAGACAAGCAGTCTAACCAGTTATAGATTGTGGAGGAAAGGTAATGGAGATGTATAAATTAACAATTGCCAATGTCAACAATACAGCATGTAGCCCCTGCCTTTCCAATCACAAATATATACATGAAGCACTCACTTCACACAAGCCTTGACACAAATCATTCATTTAGAACTGTAAAAATAGTAAACCTCATAGATCCATTCCTTACCAATTCCACCACTCCTCCAGAAGTAGGTCTTTGGAGACAAATAGCCTTTGTCTCTGAACAAAATAGACTTGGCAAATGAAAACTTAAGCTTTTTATTTAAAGGGCATGAAAGGAGTGCATTCTTGTCTTCAATTTCAAATTATATATTATTTAATGTCACACAGATAAATGATTTAATAATTGCACTTAAACCCAAAGAAGAATTTTACTTATCTAACAATCACATTAAATTGAAATTAGCATATAATTAGTGTAAGTAAGTGAGTACCCCACAAACAAGACTCAAGCTATGCAAAAATATTAAATCAAACATACTTTGAATTCACAGAAGTAAACCAAAGTCACTGAGAGGAGGTATTAAGCTCTGATCCTAAACAAGGAGGCATTCCTGCTGGATACAGCCAGTGAAATGAAAGTAGCCTGCAGCGTAATGGAATTGACTCCATGGTGATGGCAATGGCAGTGTTTACCAGTCTTTAGTCTTTGACAGATCCACACTCTGGAGGTAATCCTTCTGCTTGTCTCCATTTTGCAAAGCGCTGCTTAAACCATTGCTGAAGAGACAAAACAACAGATTATTGCCCTCAAATAACAACATAAGCACCATTAACATAGCAAAACAAAAAAAAAAAAAAAGGTGTATTAGCAAACAATATTTAATACTGAACCATTGAAAATGATCTTAGGACAGATGACTGAAAGTTCAACTGGAGGTGGGTTTTAAAGGTGTAACCTAAGAAACAGAACAGTAGTGTGAGGCAAAACAGTGTAGGAGAGGCTTTCAGTGCATTGTAGCTGAAAGCACAACTGTCAACGGTGGAGCATCTAAAAATCAAGAGATGCTCAACTGCCAAGAATTAGAGAAAAGTAAATCTGAGGTCAGTAGGAGATTAAAGACAGACTTCAGTGTAGCTCAAGTTTCAAAGAGATTTGAAAACAAGGCAGAAATTACAAGAACTGAAGCATTATATAGTCAGATCAGCAGGAGATTCAATGAGTGAATGGGAATGGAGAGAGTTAGGATATGGGCAGCAATGTCTTAGATGTCCTCATTTATAGAGGCTAGGGAGGAAGTTAGGCAGGAACATGGCAAAGAGACATGTCCAGAAGTAACAAAAAGGTATGAATCAGGGTTTCAGCATGAGACAATCTATGCCAGAAGAGAACTGAGCAATGGTAAAGATAGAAATAGGCAATCTTGTTGTTAAGGTGCAGAGAGACAATCAAAAGCTCATACAGTTCAAATATGACATTAAGTTTTGTAACAATCTGGTTTAGCTTCAAATAATCATTAAAAAGCAATGCTTCAGCCTTGCCAATATTTAGTTTGGGAAATTTTTCCCTCTGTAGAACTGGGTGTCAGACAAGCAGTCTAACAACTTAGAGATCAAGGAGGAAGAGGCAGTGGCAGCGAGGCAGAGTTCGGTGTCACTTCCCAAGAGAATGTTATGTTTTTGGATCATGTTGCACAAGTGCAGCATGTAGATGTGAAACTGGAGGGAACCAAGCACAGAATTTTGTGGCACCACCAGATACAACAGTGCTGGAGCAAAAATGAGCCTTTGTGGTTCATTCTCTCACTTCAGAGAAATAGAAAAAAAAGGAACCAGATGAGTGCAATCACATTGAGTCAGATAACACTGGAGAAGTAGTGTTACAGGAGGAGGATTAATAATTTGTGATCACTTGACAGCTTGTGTTACTGTTAGATTCAGGTTTAACAATTTGAAAATCATCAGTTAGCTCACACTTCGATTCAACCATGCAATATTGTCAGCATCCATCATCAACAGGTATTACAAACATTTAAAAGACCATTACTCCAATCAACACCCATTGACTTACCATTTCTTTGTATGTCAAACAGTTTTATATGGAACAATACATTGTAATCCGTTCCAAATAACTCCTCGTGAAGACTGTTTAGTACTCCCATGTAGACTTATTTAAACTAGTAAATACCAGAATATATAAGAATTAAAAATGGTTGAATGAATGAGGCATTGATTGGGTTAAATAGGGATCAACGAATGGGCGTTCAATATGGTGCAGTATTAAACAATACACTATGGTAGTTTGGCTGCTACAAAGACACTTTAGCTAAACCAGTTCCTGTATCACATTTGATGTCCATTTAACAGCCCAAGACACTGCCAATTCTTATTTATATTAAACATAACGAGTTTCCTTATCTGAGATAGTAGGAACTGCAGATGCTGGAGAATCCGAGACAACAAGGTGCAAGGCTGGATGAACACAGCAGGCCAAGCAGCATCATAGGAGCAGAGAGG